GTGACGAGCCTATCACGGCCGACCGAGCAGAGGTCCCCACCACCGAGGGAGGTATCGAACGCGGTGTACCCGTTTCGCAAGGAGTTGATGGGTTGTACGAAGGTGTCGGAAAGTCATCGGAGGGAAATCTGGCCAGGCCTCCGTGAGTATTATTGTTCTCCCGCCGCGCATGTCTTGTAATTCCGTACATTGTTCTAACCTCTCTTTGACATTTCGTTTCCCCCCCCCTCTCCTTTCCCCTAGTCTCGGAGACGATCAGCCCTCGCGCTCGTACATCAAACGTTCCGAATCCGGCCTCGGCGGCACCCACAACGGATCCATCCGTACGGCATCCGCGCTCTCCCAAGCCCCGCGCTCAGCGGACTATGCCACCGCATCCCCGGCAAACCTCGGACAGCCGGAACAAGCCGTCGTCAGCCTCCCCGCTGGTGGCGCATTGCACCACGAAGGCCAGAACAACAACGTGGGTGAAGAGCAGAAGGAGAACGGGTACCCCGCGCAACAGCAGCAGCCCGAGATTAAACAGCAGTTGAACGAGGGCCAGGCGTACCGTGCTGATGGCAGTGTGCCCGACCATCCTCAACAACAGCAACAGCGCGAATACGGACAATACGCTGCGCCTCTTGCGGGTGCGGGTGTTGCGGGAGCCGCTGCTTACGGTCTCCACCAGCACCAGCAGCAGCAGCAGCAACAGCACCAGCAGCAGCAGCAACAACAACAACAACAGCAGCAGCCGCAGTACAACCAAGTCCCGTACCAGAACGGCCAGCCGTTTTCTGCTCCCCACCACATGTTCAGCGCCGTGCCCACTCATATGCAGCAGCAGCAGCAGCCGCAACAACAGCAATACGATCCGACGTCCCAGATGTCCCGTCTTTCGTTCCAAGACCCGGCTCACCAGCAGCAGCAGCAGCAGCAGCAGCCGTACGGACAAGTCAACGGCGTTGTTGCCCCCGCTCAACCCACCCTCGGCGGCGGCGGTGTGGGCGGCGGTGTGGGCCCATCCCCTGGGCCACCCGTCGGCGCTTTTGCACCTACGAGTGCCACAAGCCCTCACCGACGTACCCCTGAACCCCGATCGTCCGGCGAGGGCGCGGCTGGGCTCGCGCGTAACTCGACGATGCGATCCACCGCGACTGGCGGTGCTGGTGGTCTAAGTCGCGGGTCAACGTTGAGACGTGGTGGTGCGTTTGCGAATGGCGCTGCTCTGCAGGGAGGTGGTGTAGGTGAGACGTTTGGAAGGGATGATATTCATGCCAGGACGTCCGATGCCGATCGGTCCTTGCTCGGTGCCGGGGTTGCGGCACAGGCGGGGATGCATAGGATTTCAAAGGATGAGGGTTAGTCTTCTCTCGGGTTTTCTCGCTCGACGTGTGGTTGGAACGACCGACATGGTGTGCTGACTCGTTGTTTTTATGGTCGCTATAGCGAGAGACGCAAAGAGATTATCCAAGATGATCAAGGTTGAGGGTAAGACCGAAGCCGCTGCTGTCAAGGGCGCCATCAAGGAACTTGAATCGTTGCAGAAGGTTCAGCGAGCTGCCCATGCTGTACGTTTCCCCCTTTGTTTTCCTGCTACCCCCTCACCTACCCGCGCGCTCGCTCACTGGAACCTCTCTCTCTCTCTCTCTCTCTCTCTCTCTCTCTCTCTCTCTCTCTCTCTCTCTCTCTCTCTCTCTCTCTCTCTCTCTCTCTCTCTCTCTCCCCTGGTATCGGTTTGTAGGAAGAACTCAAGGCTCAGCAGAAACACGCAAAGTTCACCCGGGTGGAACACAAGGCCCGTTTGAGGTTTTTGAAGGAAAAGGAGAGATACGAGAAAGTCGAGGCGCAGTTGCGATCTATCGAGGCTGATTACGAAGTACGTTTCCCCTTGCTTTCTCTCTCTGTCTCACGGCGCATGTATTGATGCCGCCTCTGCTCCGTTAGGCCAAGAGAGAACATGCATCCCAGCAGACCGACCTCCTTGCGGAGAAGAACCAGGAGTTGAATGATCTCCGAGCGCAAAAGGCTGCGGACGACGTGAGTGATTGATTCTCCCTTGTTTGCCTTTCGCGCGCGCGCGCGGTTGCCGTGGATACGTCAGCTGACGCTCTGCTCGTCTTGTCTGTTAGCGAGAACGAGAACTCAAGCTCTTGGCACTCAAGAACCCGGGTCATGCTTAAAGGGTTTTTCATATTTCAAGTCACACGTCCATACACTCTCAAAGCCATGTGTCAACCAGATACGGCGGGCAGACAAGTATAATAGCCGGGTTTGTTAGCAATGTGTAAAATGATCAAATAATGTTCAAGTTGATTATAATCATATATTGATTTCGGCGTGTTTCCTATATCTTGGCTTGTTCGTTGGAAGATGCACGATGTTTACAAGACTGGATTAAATCGTTGCAAAAGTTGTTGGATGTCTGAAGAAAAGAAGATTTCGCTGCCTCGTCAAAGGAACTCGCTTGGCCTGATTCGCGGTTCCATGCAGTTCAGCTTCTCTTGCGGTGCTATTGCCCTCTTGTTTGAACAAGGCGGGTACTGCTCGAAGCGCAAAGTTGCCCTCGAGAGCAGCCCTGTGAAGCCTACGCACGAAAATAAAGGTTATAGGACGTACCCTGCGCAAGCACTGTAAGACGCCGCCAATGAATTATTCACCTCTCAAGCTTCAACCGGGGTAGGAGTCTGATGATCTATCATTGCAAAACTGGCACATCGTCGCTTCTCAAAAATGATCACGCCGGCTTCATGTAACTTGGCAATGACCGTTGCGTCTTCTCCCGGGATGGAGTTCACAAGGCCGTGACTACCAGCGGTAGTGAGCATGCCTGTTACCCAGAGCAAACAGGGGTAAGCGAAATTCATCGTCAAGGAAAAACTTCTACCTACTCAACTTTGGGTCTGTGGCGATGTTGTCTCTAACTAGCAACGGAATGCCGTGAAGCTTGCTCATCAGGTTCTGTGAAGCAGAGATGTCAGCCCCGCTTGCATAACCAGAGTTTGCCTCTTCTTCACTCATTCCGTTCACTTTCATTCTGTCCAACGAGTGAGCCATTGCCAGTAAGTTCTCGATGGGAGCGATTTCCCATCGCGGCTTTTGAGTTCGAGGCCCTTTGTTATGTTTGCGTCGATATGTTCCTACCCAACAAGAAGGGAGATGCTTGATTAGCAGTTGCTCCGCAGTGGGAAATCACACATACCAGGTGTTTATCAACCAACTGCACAGTGGCGACTGTTCTGTTGTCCAGGCATCCTTGAAAATACTTGATGGTCGCAGTCAAGAGGTACACAGGTGCAGGTTGTTCAGCGTAAGTGCTCATGCAATGGTGTTGTTGTCAAAGTTGATACATCAATAGGTTAGTGGTGAGAGTCGCACCCGGTATCGAACCGCCTCGGACGCGATCTCTGGGTCCGGTTGCTGGATATTCCGTTGCGCATGTTGTAGATTGCAGAGTGTTCAAGCGAGGACTCTCGTTTGCACCGCGAAAGAGATACAATCCCGCCAGGATCAGATGTGCTTGATCAAGAATCGCCTCTTGTACGACTTGCAGCCAAAAACGGAGTTGGCGCGCTGCTAGCAGGTTGATCGAGGAAGTGACCCGTAGGACTTCTTGTGAAAGAAACCCAGCGTATTCAGATCGAACCAAACTATAAATTTGCTATCCAATTGTGCATCATAATAATACCTGCCACAGATGGCAGGACAAGCATGAGCTCATGAATACATAGAATTGTACTCATCGTCTTCGTTCGGCCGCGATCCACCCGACCCCGGCAAATTCCCATCAGACGCTCCAGCACCCTCTTCTCTCGCATGACCGAATACCGATCTAAAGAGCTGTAACATCGGATCCGTGTAGTTTGCCTGAGCATCATTATCTTCCGTTCCCTCCATTGACACGGATTGATCCATCGTCGATCGACACAACGGGCAGGTATTGTTCTGATAACGGACGAGCATCAGAAGAGTCATTCGAGAGTAGCGGAAAATCGTTCAGACAATACGGATGCTTACCAGACGTAACCATTTACCGGCACATTTCCCGCATACGATATGTCCTGATATCCCACCAGCGGAAGAACCCACAGTAGCACCCGCACATGGCAATCGACGCAATCCCATCTCTTCAACGTTTCCTCCGATATGGTAATCTGATGCTTCGGCGTATTCCTGCTCGGTGAGGATTTGCGCATAGGAGAGCACGCATATTGGGCATGACTGGTTCTGTTCGTCATCTGAGGATTGACATGTATAATGCGCGTGAACGCGAGAAGAATTTCATTGCATGTGCAGAGCTCACTTACCTTCGATCGTTGCTGGGAGGTCTTCACCTGTGACCCGCGGTAGAGTCTTGATGAAACCTTGCGAGGCCCCTCTTACACTGTAGATGGGCGACCGTGTAAGTCGGAGATAAAAGAAATCTTGGGCCCGGACAACTCACTTTCCGCCTAGCGCGTCCAAGTTACCAAATATCTCCTCATAGAGATCCTCATCCACCATTAATCCACCACCGTCCACTTCCTGTTGTTCACCCGCCCCACCACCAAACCGTACTGCACCGACTATCCGCTGTAATTCTTGCATAAAGCCTTCAAACGTTCTTGGCGCATCTCGAGCTGCATACGGAGAAGGGTCAGCCGGGTTGGTGGAGTTGGCACGCGTGTCTTCCGGAATGTTGTGGTCATCTGCGCAAAGATAAATGAACAATCTGTGGATAGCTGTAGAAGGGGTAACCTACCCTCGTATGTGGACATTTCGATCACACGAGCACTAAGTGGTACGGTGGGAATTCAAAGCTGTGAGCTGATGAGACCTGTAAACACGGCCGACTCTGAACCAGACACTTGTACGGAGGAGGAGGCAGGAGAGAAGAGCGCCCTAGCAATTACAGCGTCCAGACCGGTATGCAAGTAGCCAGAGCGTTACCCTCCTGGACTCCTACGTTTGAAGTGATGACTAATCGGCAGACTATATAAAAGTTCGTTATATTTGATGAACGAAAAGCCTGAACATCCAGCGTTCCAGGAGCACGGTGGTTGTGCGTCGGATTGCAATACGATGGTTACATCGCATAACATCCGCAGGTCATGTGTTCGACTCACATCTGGAACTCATCTTTTTGCGTCATCTTTTTGCGTCAGACTGATCAGGCACAGCTGAGCGACAATACATGATCACATCGTCAGCCACTTTGGGTGATTAGTCATTGCTTTAAGCGACCAGATCACACGTTAGGAGCTACAAATATGGGAAGTCGATAACGATGAGGTCTTGAGGCTACACTGTGAACGACTTTGGAATGTATTCGGCAGGTAGGCTGAACATCATCACTTGCAGCTGCATAATCAAAGGGTTTCGCGATCGGGAAAGTTGAGCCATTGACTGAACAGCTATCCACATCGTCTCATGGAATCGCTGAAAGCTTTCGATGGTCACCTCAAAACGGTTGATGAAGGGCGGGAGAAGGAGGGGGAGAAGACAGAACGGCTAATACGTGATTAAAAAATATAATTCACTCCAATAAAGATGGACACCCGGCCTGCATCCTCATGTCGCACAAACAAAGGGGTTCATAAATGGTAGTTTTAATCCTCGACTGGCTCATCCAGCGGATTCACCATCGTTACCGCTACAAGTATTCAGCTCAAAACCCCAGGTCGCTTCATCCGTCTTGTTTCTATATGCTGAGGAACATGGACGAGGGGGTAGCTGCCAAGCTGGAAGGTAAGCTTGCGCCAGTACTCCACGTTTTTGCTGTTCGATCGTGGGATTGGAGTGAGAGCGTATCTGATATCGTAGTGCGCATCAAGTCCGCTGTCATGGTTCTAAGGCTGGAAGATAACGCTGAAGAATATCCGCGTGTGAAAGGCGAGCTTGACTGGGCTGATCCACCAAGATCGGTGGGACGGGAAGGCTGGATGTCGTGAGACATTGAGCGCATTGACTGGGATTGTCTCGATAGCTTTGACTGATCAGAGGCATGCGAGCTGATGGATGCCTCATCTCCGCCTCGAGACTCCTCAGCCATTCTGGCGGACGTTCCCTGTTCTGCCGGATGTGGGTCATAAGAGGGTCGCACCTCTCTAAGGACCTCGACTAATGCAACAGTATCTTGCGACCTATTTGAGCGCGAGTTTAGCGATTTGACTCTACTCGTGCCTGGCTTCTTGGTATTGTCAGTGGCTGTCGGTTTCTTCGGCTTCCTGGCGCGGTTAGCGGTGGACGTTTTTCGCACCACGGCCTCCGAGGCTTGCATGATTCTCAGGCTCTTCGGAAGGATTGGCTGTACTCTTGATTCGCGCATATCGGCGTCCGCTCCCTTGGCCAGTCTCTTTGTCTCCGTCGCAAGCTTTCTCTTGATTGTCACCTTCTTGTGAGGGGAAATTTGATGTAGAATATCCTTGTGTAACGCCTCTAGCTGCCGCCGACAACTTTTTATCGACTTTGAATCTTCGATTTCTCGCAACTGCTTGACAATGCTTTCGCGAGCGTCTTCCCACTATGTATGGCTGCTCATTAGCTATTGGACAGTACGATAGAAGCACTTTTCGACTTGCCTCAGCCAAACATCCTTTCAGAATCTCCGGTGAAACTTCGACACCTGCTTCTATAGCATCTCTGCGGAGTTGTAACTTGCGAGAACATCGGCTTAACAAATCCAAAGCTCCCACCAGCTATAGAATTCAAGGTTGGAGATGCGGTCAGTTATGCTGCACGACTTTCTGCTAGCTCGGACGTTTAGCACACCTTCTCTGATGGGAGATCACGAGCGGAAGAAGGTCCAGCCTTATGGGAGATAGCGTGCGGATGCGGAAGCACTATGTGCACAACATCCGCAACAAGTTCCTCCAAAGCAGCAAACAGCAGTGATGTTTTGATTACTGGAGAATCTGCTTTCTTTCGATGGCGGAGCCATGAAGCAAGGGCCGACTTGGTACGAGTTTTGGATCGATGGCTGCGGGGACTCCTCCGAGGAAGACCTGTCAAGCTTTTCGCCATGGTTTTAAATTCTCAACACCCTTAGTGTGTCTCGACAACGTCATCTTGTCCGGGGCCGTGGGCTCGGGTCACGGTATACATATACCCACCGTCATCCCTTTGTCGCGAATCCCTTTGACCTTGTGGAAGTCCCCAGTCCGCGTTTTGGTGGCGAGCACACAGCGCCCGACGCGCAGGTTTCGGCTTAGGAATGGAGCGAGCACTGCAGAGCGGTGCGCCCGGTGCAGCACCTTCGGCTACTCCGCATACGCGAAGTGATCTTGTTCGCTCGTCTCCAGCTTCGTTTCCCTCAAGGACAAGGCAAAATCACACTCATTCATCCAACCTCCTCCCTACGGTTGTCTGGACCACCGTATCCTCCACCATGTCCTCTCCCCCTCTTTCTCTGAAAAGATCCACTTCCTGGACATCTCCTCAAAGCTCCCAGGTAGGCCCCCTGCTCCGTGTCTCAGCGCGTCGCCTAATTCCTTCCTTTCCAGGATACCGCCAGAGCTGGTCGCCCAACACCCTCAAGACCCGTCTTTTGCTCAATGCCAAGGCAATCCCTTACACTGAGCAGTACGTTTCGTACCCTGACATCGCTCCCTTGCTCACGTCGTACGGCGTTTTACCCAACGAGAAAGGCTACACGTTCACCTTGCCCGCGATTTATCACCCGGAAACTGTAAAGGATGTTGGCCCAGGCGGACAAATCATGACCGAGTCCACTGCGATCGCTCACCACCTTGACTCTCTCTATCCGTCCTCTGCCGTGCAAGCATTTCCCGAGCCCAAGAACGAATCAACCGTATTGTGGAAGGAAGCCGAGCACCATCTCCGCGCTATCGTTTTCCAGCAGGAAGAAGGCAAAGGTTACCGCCTGCTGATGCCCCAAATCCCTCTCATCCTGGACGACCGCGGCTCGGAATACTTTATTCGAACTCGCGCCGAAACTCACCCTCAACACATTTCACCACTGCAATGGGGTTCCCCGAACCCTGAAAACGATTGGTCCGCCATCCGCCCTGCCGTTCTCGCATACCTCAAGTACCACGAATCTACGCGCGATGCTGCTGTTTCCGCCGGTCGAGGTGGGCAAGGTCCATTTTTGTGGGGCGACAAGGTGACGATGGGGGACATCTATCTTGTGAGCGTCCTCGTCTGGTTCCGCTCGGCTGGGGAGGAGATGCTGGACCGGTTCCTTGCGATTGGAGAGAAGGATGAGCCGGCGGGGAGGAAAGCGGAGGGGGAGCCGGTATGGGAGAAGAGCCCAGTTAGAGCCGTTTGGGACGCATTTGGGGAGAAAGGATGGCTCGAGGGCGTCGGTGAACCGAGAGAGATTCCGCTCAAGAGCGCCTAGTGGTCGATCAAGAGGCAAGCTCAGCAATCAGCTGAAGGAGATTAAATGGTTGTATCATGATAGTGAGTTTGTTGAAGCATGTTGAAATACAATGCACAAGTTGGATCCCCGCGACCGCTTGTATGTGGTTCAGATCATGGCACGCATTCCTTCGTAGCAGAGTACATGCACGGTATGCAGCATACTGAATAGCACTAAAGTGTGACGTCCATACAACGAATGCGAAGTGGCGCGACAGCGATACCAGTTCTGTCTTGGTTATAGGTGCCACATCTTCCGGTTGGTTTACTCCGGCTGGTGATCAATTCACTCTCCTGCCCTACAGCCGAAGCTTCGCGGGCATTCATCATATGTGGTGGCAACTTTTCTCGAACGTGGCAGGTGTTATGGAGAGACGTTTGTCATGTTCGATGAGCAGCGGTTCAGCACTGATGAGGAGCTAATGCTTCATTCTATGAAGTGGTTGATCATACTGGGTATTTTGTATACAGGAGGGGCGTAGACTTCCTAACCTGGGCTCTGCGTTGCCACGATTTGTTCGCCTCATACAAATTCAGTGCGTTCGGATGAGCTTTTATTGCACATCAACATGCAGAAAGGCGAGAAACGTCGTGCTCTTTTCGATCGTGATGTCGCTATCCATTTCCCTGGCGACATCTCGCACATCCATTGTTCAGGGCAGCTCTCGCAAAGTCTTCATCGAATTCACGTCTGATGATTAGCGCCGTTGGTTCTCGGCGCTCCGTCGTCGGTTTTTCAAGCAGTTTGCTGGGCATGATCGCGTGTCTTCAACCTGAAACCTGACCTGTTCCTTTTAGAGCAACAAGTTAAGCGCTCAACCTTTCAGCGTCTCGATCTCATTCACCGAGTAGTGTGCAGGCTCAAGACAGACCGGCAACGCAGGACGCTGGGCATGGAGTTGGTAGGAATCCGCTACAAAGGATCCGGTTCGGAAGACAGGTGGTGTCCATAAGGTATGTGCCCAATGTTAGAGGAGGACCGGCACGCTGTTCCGATGATATGTGACGAAACGGACGGTGATTTGATATTGTTACAACCTTTGTTAATCATCCTGAGACAAGCTTTTACGTGGTACAATTAGTTTGCTCTGAGCGTCGTAGGTCAGTTAGTACAACCCGAGGCGACTTTGCACACCTGTGCAATTACATCTCGGCCAAAACGCTTATTCGCTCCCTTGACGCTGCAGCCTGACAACCTTTGCTTCCTCCTGTCGTTGTGCCAGCTGGTCTTCTAGACGAGGGGGAACTCCGTACTTGAACCGGATGAACATGGTGACAACGCCACCCAAGGCGATGAGGCCGGTAGTAGTGCCGAAACCTGCGTGGTAGAGAGGCGCATCCTTCGATGGCCAGATGAAGGCTCCGTACACGGACGCAAGATTACCTGAGTTGCGAAACAGTTTTAATGATACGTAAGAAAAACCAGGTGCGAAGAGTGACTCACCGAAACCGTTGATGATGGCGATAGACACTGCCCGCTTTTCTCTGCCCTCAAAGTTGGTAACCATGTAACTCAAGAAAATAGGGACGGCAGTCCAGATGCCAGCGCCACCGAAGGCGATGAATGTATATCTGAAGTGACATAGAGGTCAGCGAATGCGGCCAGGTGTAGAAGTGGTCAATCTTACCGAACAGCAGACACCTTGACAGTTGCGCAAATGATAAACGAAATAGCGCTCATGGCACAAGCAGCGATGATGTGCCACGCTTTTTGGTTGGTGCGGTCGGCGTTCCAACCCATGGCCATGGAGATT